GGGGAAGAGTTTTCTTGGGCAAGCCTTCTGTGCTTAACTAGTGCTTTGTGGGTTTCTTAGTTGGCACTGTTCTTACAAGGCTCCTTTAGCTTTAAGTCATTCAGAGATTATTTGTCCAATACGGGACCAAAAACTACATTCTGGTTATTAATTGAAAATAAATATCAGAAAACCAGATCGTTGGTGGAAGAGAAAGCCAAACAGTCAAATTGTAGCAGTTGAGAAACATTTCTCCTACTTCTGTTGAGATATTGAATATGAATATTTTATATGGAAGTATTATGAGATTCTAAAGCAGATTTATATGCTAGGTACATAAGAATGTAATTTTGGTAAGTAACATGGCTTATGTAAAAGATTTTGGTCTTGGGGAGTATTTTCATTAAAAAAAAGAAATCCGTCAGAGAGATGCTAGTTAGTGAAGCAGGGCTTTTCATGGGACACAATTTGGGTGCAGCCTCTTAAAGTTTCAGTTTCTAGTAACACATGTCCAGGGACTAAAATTTTACTCATCTTCCCAGGGAGAATTTGTCTTGGGAGGATGGATTTATACCAACCAAATGAATGTATGAATACCAACCTTGCAAGGGACCACTGGACAAATTAGAATACCAGTGTTTTAATTTATCATGGAGATGGATGGATGGAACAGAAATACAATTTCAGTGGCTGATTATTTGTCTGCTAGTTCAAGGGTCACCTCTTCACAATAGCAAGGTACTAAATTAATAGAACAGTCCTCAGGAGCTTATAATTAGAGAATAGGGAAATAGTTTTTAGGCTATGGGAACATCAAATGAACCATTCTGTCCCACAGAGGAGTAATCCCAACAGTATGATAAAATCCTCTTGTCTCCTGTTGGTCTGTGCTGGGTAAATGCTACAAGTTCTTACTCTACACTTCCATCTTTTAGATGCTTCCTGTAGACTTTTTGTTCCATCAGCACTTTAGGCAGTCATGTTACGGTAAGGTTGATTAGATTACAGATTTTACATTCCATTCCTGAGGATATACTTTCCTTAACTTGATGGAACTAAGATGTTTCCCAAGGCTTCATACACTTCACACAATATCAGTGGCTGCCTGCTACAGACAGATAATCTCTGTTTCAGTGGTTCTTAAACTTGACCATAGGAATCACTGGGGAAATTTGTTAGAAGTGCAGATTTTCAAGTTTGACCCCTACAGATTCAGATTAAGTAGATCTGGAGATTGGCCTCTGAGGCCTATATTCTTAGTTCTTACAGTTAGAGAAATATCACATATGTGTGAATGCTTAGTAGTTTCATTTCAAAGGGCAACTTTATTGCTAAAGTCTATGGTACTCTAAATACTAATAATAAGACAGAGTCTTGATTTCAAAACCTTGGAAAGTTTCTTCAGTACCCATAACCAATTTTTAAAACAGTACAAATTTTTACAATTAACTCTTGCTTTTATTTTCTTTGCCAAAATACTCTGGGGAAGCTGTGGTTGTGTTGGCCATGCAGAAGGAAAGTTCTCTTTGACCAGAATGTCTTGAACATCCGCTTCTTCTCTTTCTTCACTGCTCTGGTTCAAGACTTCCTCATCTCTCATCTGGAGATTTCTTCAGACTCTCACCTTGTCCACCCTCTCCCTGGGTGCAAATTGCTGGTGGAGGTGATGGTAACTATTGTCGGATTTGCGGTAGAAGGAATAACATGGTCAGCGGCATCTTAGAGAAGTCATTCTGACAGGATGGAAGATGAATTAGATGGGAATATCCGAGTCTCCAGGGAGTGAGTGTAGTTCACAAAAAGCTAATATTGGAATGAAATAGTAAATTTGGAAAACAGGAAATTTCCCTACTGCTTTTGTAATATAGAGTATAGAATGTAATGCTTGAACAAATAGAAGCAATAGAAAAGGTCTCAATTTTCTAGCACGTGGTCCCATCTCTTGCTATTCCCACACTTGTGTATTGTGTTCCAGCATGTGCTTACAGCACATGTATTTGTACATACTGTTTTCCTTTTCTGGATGCTGCCTCACTTTCAACGTTTATTGGATATCTTTTATGTGCCCTTATTAGGACATGAAGATATAGTGGTGAACAAAATTAAATTGGTCCCTGTCCTAATAGAACTTACAGTTTAATGGGGTTGGGGAATGAGATACCAAATAAAAACACATATGATAATGTAATAGTAAGTGGGAAAAGCGTTAGGAAAAGTGCTATAAGTGGATAGAAAAGTGGATCTAACTTAATCTAGAAGGTCAGGAAAGTTCCACCTGAGGAAATGACTTGTCAGCTGAGACCTGAAGAATTAGTAGGAATTAACTAGGAAAGTGGGAGTTGAGAAGAGGGTGTTTGTTTTGGGTAGGGGGAGCATCTTGTCCTTAGGGCCTGAGGCAAAGAGGAATAATCAGGAAATTCAAAAGAGGTCTGTGTGATTGAAAGTTAGTGAATCAGGAAGAGGCAGCAGCTATGATGTAGGAGAGGTAGGCAGAGGCCTTACTGTTTACAGTGAGTTTTTTTTTTTGGCTTTATCCAAAATGGGAAGTTATTGCGGGGTTTTAAGAATAAGGGTGAGGAGTGTGGATATGTTCAGATTAATATTTGAAAATGGTGACTGGCTATTTTATGGAGACAGCATTGTAGGGGTATAAGGTGGGAATCAGTAGACTAAACAGACTGTTGTATAAACTCATTAGACTGTGAGTTCAGGGGAGAGATGATGGTGATCTGGACCAAGATGTTAGGACTGAAGATGGGGAGAACTGAATGGATTGAAGAATTATTTTGTAGCTTGAATTTTGGTAGGACTTAGTGAGAAAGAGATTAGATGTGGACTATGAAAGAAAGGGAGATGTCAAGGATGACTCCTAGATTTCTGGATTGACTTGGGTGTAGATAATAGTCGTTTTTATTAAGATTGCAGGGAATGCTAGAGGAGCAGGTTTAGAGGAAAAGATCGAGAGCAGTTTTGAAAGTTCTTTCTCTGTGGATTCTTGTTCTTTACCTTAGAAACTCCCACAAGATTCTGCTCAAAATTGCCCTCCTGTGAAATCATGTTCAAGGTCTTTTTCCCCTCCATCTCCTATAGAACAGTAGATTGTACTCTTATGTTGTGTCACTTGTTGTAAAGTCTTCTCTTAATACTTCTCTCTCCATTTTATAATTATGTACGTACCTATCTCTCTCACAAGACCTGATTTGTTTGGCAGAGACTTCCAAATAACTATCTTGTTTGGTCTTCCTGGAATGTAGAAAAATATTTCTTCAAGTGTTTTCCACTGAGTTATGTATGTTAAAGTTTCCTTTATCTTAAATCCAGGATTACTTTGCTGAAGAACTTTGTCCAGACTTTTGTATCCTCATGCGGATTGTGACTCTCTGGAAAGGGTGTAAGGTGTGCAGTATTTTCCAAAATTATTTAGTTCTCCCTCCCCTCCCACCAGCTTTTGTTTTCTGAGCATCTCATGTTACTTGTGTTGAGAGTAAGAGGTGGGCGTAGGAACATTCTGTGGGAAATGCTGATCTGTGTGTGTCCCTGTCACAGAGTAGGCACATAGTTCACTGAGCCTGGACTACATGAAAAGCAAATCTGACGGCCGTGGGGGAACATCTCTGGATGTGTTTGGGAAGCTCATTTTGCCTATAGTTGAGCTGCAGATGTATTTCTTTTACCCATAGTGATCAAAACAGACACCAAGGGATGAGAATTTACTGTCTATTGTTTGTTCCTGCCAGGCTAAAAAACCTAGGTGACATGAGATGACAAATTTTGTTCTGTTTCTTTGTAGCTAAGCTGAGAAGAACTGAACAAAAAATTCTTTGGTTCTTTTATTTATTAACTCCCAACATCAAAACAGTGCCTTTCTTACACCACCTGGGTTGTTCATAAAATAAACAGAGTTATATTAGTAACTATTTTTTTGTAAAAGAAATAAATGTCCAGTATTTTTCTAAAGGCTATTTATATTCTGTTTTAGAGAGTTGGCTGTAGTGACGCAGAACCTAGGTTTCAGGGAAATATCGACAGGATATAGACTAAATGGAGAAGACCCTGTTCTTTTTTTGAAGACTGTGTGAATTTATTTGGGAGGGGAATTTTTCTTTATTTCAAAAGTTAGAGTGTTCAAGACAGTTATTTTTTAGAGTGAACCTAGAGGAAAGTTTTACCAGGAGCTCAGTGACTCAAACAGGAAATATATTTGTTTTTAAACTTAGACTTTATTTTGCAATACCAGATGGCATTATTGTGTTACATTTATTAACAGACTCTGACTGCTAGTATCTTATAGTCGTGTGGAGTGGGTAGGTGCCTTTGCTCTACAAACTTTATTTGGCTATAGAGTTAACTATGAAAATAATTTTTTGAGTGATATAAAATATGGCCTAGATTAGTAGGGTAAAGATATGGTAACCACATCTACGTGTGTACTCCCACCTCTTAATTTATATATTTTCATTTACTTTCCCCACCTTTTATTATCATAGATGTTAATTTCCAAATTGGAATAGCTTGAAATGGTAAGGAAAACTTGGTCATCTTTAGTCCTGCTATCAGAGAAGTTATCATCCCTTTAATATTCCCTCAACTGTCAGGGCTAATCTTTAGAACTGAACTTCTGAGGTCACCGTAAAGAGCAAATAAAAATCTGTGAATAAGGATAACTTTTCCATTTATTTTAAGAAATGCCTGGGGAAAGGAAAAGTAACTGCTGAATATTTTTAGCAGTGGTGATAGGGACTGTATGAGTAAAATGTAGTGATTTTTTAGCAACAAAAACAGCTGCAAATTTTGATGCTTCTTCCTCAGTATCAATCTCATCTTTTCTGTGCTGTACATACCTTTACACAAAAATGATCTTATAAATTTTTCTAGACCTGGTAATCTGTAGTTGCTTATTCAAAAAGCCACAGCTCAGGATACATTTTTTTGTATGCCTCACTCTTTACTTTGGCTTCTAATAAAGCATTTTTTGTCCAGGAAAATCATTTTAACTGTAGAAACTCCCACATTTGTTTCAGGTCGATCTTCTCTCTTTCCCTTTGAAGACGCCTTCCTGGACGACAGTCATGGCGATCAGTCCTTGTCATCTGGCTTAAGTTCTCCCACTCGCTGTCAAAATGGGGAACGAGTAGAACGCTACTCTAGAAAGGTGTTTGTTGGAGGCCTTCCTCCTGATATTGATGAAGGTACTATGCATTCATTAATGACTTTATAAAGGTCAGGTTTGTTCTTTCTGTGCTCTGCCTCTCCTCTCCAAGGCAGCTTTAGGACATTCATGTCTTAGTGTGCACGAGGTGAGACTGTTTGATGGATGAGGAAGTCCTAGGTTGTGCACTTCAAGTCTGCTGTTCATACATGTTCATACATAGCAGTCTCCCAAGAGCTTCCCATTTCCTAGTTATTAATTTGAGGATAAATTTTAAAATAATAATGAGAGCTACTATTTATGAAACTCTTACTGTAAGTCTATTATTGTGCTAAATGCTTCACATTATATTATCTCATTTAATCCCAATAGCTTTCCATACCCATAGTTGGTAAGGCATATCTTACCAACTCCATTTTATAGATGAGGAACCTGAGGATCAGATGGAAACAATTTGTCGCAGGTCATGTAGCTAAAAGTACAGTTAGAACTCAAGACCAGTCTGATTCCAGAACTTTTGCTCATGTCCATCACACATATCATCTAATATTTTAATGTAGATACCTATTAATGAAAAGCCTCCCTTGCCTTTAAAAGAATGAAGAATAATTAGAATTTTTAATATATTTTTGAGATACTCACAGTCCAAAAGTGAGTTTTCACTTGTGCCTAAAGCCAGTCGGTCAGCACATAGTATGTTGTCAGTAAATATTTGCTGGATGTATGAATGAAATAAAATTGTGACAAAGTTAACTTAAGGGAAAAAACAATGTCTCTGGTTCTAGTAGGCTTTGGATTTACCAAAAAAATATCGTTAAAGCAGAATTGTTTTGCCAGCATTATTCCAGCTATGACATTTCTCTAATTTATTATAATTTTCTTTTTTTCGTGATGAGGGAAGAATAGTCTCTAAAAATATTTTTATTTTAGACTTGCTGCTTGAAAGTTGTACACAGCTGGAGTCTCATTTTCCTTCAAACTATTCTTGTACTAGTGTTAATCTCATTGATCAATTGGATTTTTCTTTAAGACAAAGTTTTGATCATGGCTGAGGGAGTGGCAACTTAAGGCTTAGTAGGAGCTAAGTTATAACCTCCTGCTCTGAGTCAAAAGTCAGAAGGAAAAGATAAATTTATTGAGCTGTAACTTTTGAAACATTTTCTTTATAGCATGTGTAGTAGGTATATATGGGAAAAAGAGACCGTTGGCTTTTAACTTTTTCTTATCACCAAATAGAATTACCTACTTATTGCCCCTTCACCTCACCAAATGAATCATATCTATTTCTAAAATAATCTTAGACATTAATAAACTTAGATTAAAAATAATAATCTAAGATTAATAATCTTAGAGATCATTTCATATGAATAAAAGCACACATTAAATATTTTGAATACTTTTGCCTTTTTTCTAAAAACAGAACATTCCTATTTTTAGAGTCTCCTTTTTACTTGGCAGAAAGGTCACCTTAGCTAATGTCAGATTTTTTCTTCCAAATTCTTTATATCAAATTTATTGGCAGTGAAGGGAAATGAATTATAGTTAGAAATACATTCTGCATGATTGAAAGTGAATAACCAAATGTACCCCCCAAACAATGGTATTTCACTTAGTAGGTTTGACTTCTGTAAATTTGCTTTAGAAAGTAGCTCTCAAAACATTTTTTACATAAAAAGACACGTTTTATGCTATTCTGTTTGCAGTATTTTTTTCTCTTTTGCTAAGATTCCTTCTTTGTTTTGTAGATGAGATCACTGCCAGCTTTCGCAGGTTTGGACCTCTCGTCGTAGACTGGCCCCACAAAGCTGAAAGCAAGTCATATTTTCCTCCTAAAGGTAATGCACATAAAATGTCTCTACTGCCTGCCTGTTTCTCCAAGATGCAGTTCAATAAAAGGTAGCCTTTTAACTCCTGAAATAGCTGGTGACTTTTTTCTCTCAATTAAGAAAACATTTTTAGGTTGGTCATCTTTTTGTGACTTACTGTTTCCATTTGGAGACTATTCCCCCAGGAGTACACTGATTGTTTCATGGCATCTCTTTTATTGACCGTGAGGTCCTGTGAATCTGTATGAATGAGGCTTGTGCTAACTTTTCATTATTTGAGAGAAAAGATCTAGAGTTTTGGGGAATGTCAGAGATGGGAGAGGAAAAGATAATTTAGAGTCAAGTTTTATTTATATCCCATAGCCCTGTGGTTTTATAGATCTTATAAACCCCAAACTTGGAAAACCTAGTGGCTGAAGAATGACATTGTATGAAACTACCTTTATCCATATCTGTATCTAAGTGACTTAGCCTGTTGAGGGGTAGAGGGCAAACTAGCAAAGGACTCTTCACATGACCTTGCTTCCCTTATTTCTGGTAGGCTTTTTTGATGTTTTACAAAACCATAAAAATATATTACTTTGTTCATAGTTTGTCATTTCTGTGGAACTTTTCTGATGATATTAACTTTTGGTATATTCCTAGATTTATATAGAAGAATGTTTTGGGTTAAAAAGGAAATTTTCTTCTTGTGTTATGTTCTGTAGATCTGTTTCAAGAGTGTCTTTTATCTCTAAAGAAATGTTTTTTGATATGTAGTATTATGTAACATTACTCACTACAAGAAGATGGAGTCAAAATACTTGTCCTTCCTATACTTTGTAAGGAATTAAATTATAGCTTAACCTGGGAAAGGCAAGTGGCTTCCTTTTATGTCTGGTTTATTAGGTTTATCTGTCACCTATACTTCTTCTCACACTCTTTATTTTATTTTTTTTTGCTGGGAAAGATTCACCCCGAGCTAACATCTGTTGCCAATCTTCCTCTTTTTTTTTCCTCCCCTAAGCCCCAATACATAGTTATATATTCCAGTTGTACGTCCTTCTAGTTCTTCTGTGTGAGCTGCTGGCACAGCGTGGCTACTGACAGATGAGTGGTGTGGTTCTGCGCCCGGGAACTGGACCTGGGCCACCGGAACCCAACTTTAACAACTAGGCCATCAGGGCTGGCTCTCTCACTCTCTTTATAACCTATGAAAATAAGTTACTAAATAGAGGCCTGTTTGTTTACTTTTAACATTCTTCTGTTAATTCTTTCCAAGAATTTTTAAAGTTAAATTAAGTTTTATATTAATCAGAAAGGATAAAAATCATCATGCTGATTATTCCAGTGAAGGAATGTGTTCACCACTTTGTGCTGCACGTATGGCACTATGTAAAGACACATGTTCAAAACATGTTTCTAGGAGTGCTAATAATTTGTTGAATCACAGTAGTGTTATTTCAGTGAATGAGTTCACCACACTGTGCTGCATGTAATGCACTCTTGTAAAGTCACATGTATGAAAAGGTGTTCCTGAGAGCACTAGTTGCACATGTGAATCAAGACAGTGTTATTTCAATGAAAGAATGTGTCCACCACACTGTGGTGCATGTAGCAAACTCTGTAAAATGACATGTATAAAAGATATTTCTAAGAGTGCTAGTTGAAAAAAATAATCATGTCAAAAACGCTGTAAAAATGATTCTTGAATAAAAGGTGTCAGATGATGGTTGTAAAAAATGAAAACAAAGATCAACATATATATATGGTCATGTCCAAAGAAACTTATCCCAAATCTACCTCTATCAGAAATAATCACTGTATATATTTTATTAAATATCCTTCTGATATCTCTTTATGAACATAGACATTTATATGAAATTTTAAATTTTACATAGATGGGATCACACTATACATGTTATACAAAACTTGCCTTTTCCCTCCAGCAATATCAATATCTTTCTATAAGAAACCTACATTGTCATTAATGACCTTATTTTATTTAATCAATCCTATTGGTGGACATTTAAGTTGCTTTTAGCTGTTGCTTTCATGAATCATGCTTCAGTGAATATCCTTGTGCCTTCATCTTTTTGCCCTTTTATAATTACCTCTTAGGGTGAACTTCCAGAAGCAAGGTGCATATTTATACAGAATGCCAAGCTACCCTTAAGGAAGATCATACACTTTTATGTTCCCACCAATAGTACCTGATTTACAAAACAGTTTTATTGAAGGTCTAGGGAAGTGACTCTTTCTTATTCATTGCCAATCTGATGGTTAAAATAACATCCTTTTATAGGCATTTTTTTTTTCTCTTTACTGGCCCTTGAATTCATTTTACTTTTTTATATTGGCTTCTAATTTCTGTCTGGAATTTGTATTGGAGAAGGCACAAGAAGGGATCCCGCTTTATTTCTCCAGGTAGCATGCCAGTCCTTCCAATAGTCACTTATTGACTATTCCATTTTTTTTTTCATTGATTTGAATCATTAGAAATAGATATTGAGGGGCCCAGCCCCGTGGCCAAGTGGTTAAGTTTGTGCGCTCTGCTCCGGTGGCCCAGGTTTCACCGGTTTGGATCCTGGGTGTGGACATGGCACTCTCACTGGGCTACACTGAGGCGGCATCCCACATGCCACAACTAGAAGGACCCACAACTAAAATATACAAGTATGTACTGGGGGGCTTTGGGGAGAAAAAGAAGAAGAAAAAAGAAATAGGCATTGATTGAAAGGTCGTTTCTTCTGTTTTTCAATAGAATGCTCAAGTTCTCTGGAACTGCTCTGTCCAGTATGATAGCCACTAGCCACATGTAGCTAATGAGCACTTGAAATGTGACTAATTCGAATTGAGATATGCTGTAAGTGTAAAATATACACTGGATTTTGAAAACAGTTTAAAAAAAATAAAAGATCTCTTAGTGATTTTATCTGTTAAAATGATAATCTTTTGGATGTATAGGATTAAATAAAATATATTAAAATTAACTTCACCTGTTTCTTTTTACCTTTTAAAATGTAGATACTGGAAAATTTTAAATTAACATATGTGATTCATATTTCTATTTGGCAGCACTCCTTTAGAACAGGGGTCAGCACACTACCTGTTTTTGTATGGCCTGTGAGCTAAGGAGAGTTTTTATATTTTTAAGGGTTGTAAAATCACACACACAAGAAGAGTATGTAACAGAGACTATATGTGGCCCTCAAGTCCCTTTGCAGAAAATTTGTTGATTCCTGCTCTAAAATAGCCCAGAGAACTGCTCATTTAGCTTCTGGGACATCTACTAACAAAGGAGGCAGTTTATTTCAGAGGAAGTCCATATGTTTGCAGACCTAATTCTTAAATTTTGTTCTTCTGTTGGGTCAAATGCTTCCTGGCAATCTGTACCTATTGGTCAATTTTGTCCTATAATGTAAAACAAAATGTCATCATTGTGACATCTATCTCTTGGTACTTAAAGGACTATCAGTTTCTCTTTCAGTCTTCTTTTTTCTAAGCTAAATATTTTCACTTCCCTTAGTCATACCTCATGTCTAATGGTTTTTGGATCACCGTTCTTCTTGTCTACCTTTTCTGTATATATTCTCACATTTACAATATCCTACTTAAATTTGTTACTCAGAATTGAAGAGAGAACATTTGGGTTGGTTTGAGCAATACAGAGTTTAGCAGCTCTATGAACTCCGTGGTTTTTGGTACCACTCCTATATAACAGCATTATAACATAGAACTATAAAACATTAGAGGTGGTGCCCTTAGTTCACAGCTGAGGTTAAGTGTTGAGATGGACCAGTGAGAGCCAGGCCAAGAAGAGAATCTAGATCTCCTAATTCTGGTCCTCAGGTTTGCATCCTCGGAGAGCAGATTGCCTTTCTGGTGATTGGGGTCAGGGAGGAGAAATTATTATTATACTATTGGCTCCTGTTGTGTTTTGCTCTCAGCTAAAGTCCGAAGGTTGACCTATTTTGGGAGGACCGAAAGAAATTTGATGTTATTCCAAGATTGAAATAACTTTGGGAATCCATGCCCATTGCTTTGAATGTTGGGAACAACTAAGGAATTCACCCCAAATTGTTCTGTACCTCTTAATAATGCTCCCTTGTGCTGTTTCTACTTTTCCTTAAATTCCTTAGATTTTAATTCAAGTCTGTGCCTTCTTGGTAATGCCCCTCTTGCTGATTGTACTTTTCTTTAGGTCACCTCAGGTTGACCATCAGGTACAGTTTGTTTGGCTCTATGTTTTAGGCTTGTATGTAAGTAGAGAGGAATATGTGAATCATCCTCTATTGAGCCATTTGGCCTTTTTCTCGGAAAGTATACGCCTATTGAAATAAACAAAACCATTCATCCACCCAGCAGATTTACCTATACAAATATCGAGTAGGGTTTGTAAAACGATGACCATTTCAGTGGACTGTGGGGAGCTTAAAGTCAATGTAGAGAAACAGTGGCCAGGCACATGAATTGTCCCCTTAAATGTTGTTGAGCCAGCAGAGTGGGAGGTGGTGGAGACAGGGGCTCTCTCCAGGACAAAGGCCACTGAGGCATTTGATCAACCATTTGAGAATATGCAGAGTTCTCTGGATCAGTTTGCCTATGGCCTGCAAGCAAATAATTGCTTATTGTTCTCCAGAGCACCACTGAGAACATGGAAATGGTAGATAGGCATGAAAGTCAGAATGTGTGTCTTTATGATTTGGTCTCAGAGCTCATGAACTTATAGTCCTGTGGGGGAGATAAGAAATAAGTCAGATGGTCACAAAAATAAACACAATTACAAACTGTGATAATTCTGTGAAGGAAAAATAGAGAATGCAGTGAGAGACCCTAAAAAGAGGACACCAATTACAGTTGGGGATATGGAGAGACCTTCTCTGAGAAAATGACAGTTAAGCAGACCTGAAAATTGAGGAATTAGCTAGAAAGTGTAGGGAAGCAAGTTCCAAGCAGAGGAGTACCATATGGCAAAGACAGTGTGAAAGGGCTTTAGTACCTTTGAAGAAATGAAGGAAGTATGGTTG